CAGCCTTCTCCTCCAAGCTTTTGCGTATTGTGGGCCTGTCTGGACCAGAGGAACAGGATATGAAATGGATGGTTGGTACCAACTCCATTGGAGAACATAATGAAAGCTTTTGCTATAGCAAACTAATCCCATCCTTGCCTTGGAAAACTGAAATCTTCAGAGAGCTAGCACCCCAAACAAGAGGGGTATGGGCTCAAAGCCCTTCCCTCTGCATTCCTCCCAGCTTAAAATACATAGAGCTCCTGTATCTGCTCCCAAAGAAATAAGTCTCCTTTTCTTCCCGTCCTCCAACACTTACACACGAATCCAGGGTAAACAACGTGTACTTTGGAGACCTGTACAGCAGATTTTACAACCTTCAGTGCTCAAAACAAGGAAGAGCAAGTGAAAACTCTTCTCTAAATACCACTGAGGCATCTCTGCACACATTAGAATTATCAGTCAGCCCTTCTCCCTTAGAATCATAGAATCACTATGGTTGGAAAGCACCTCTAGGATCATCAAGTCCAACCTTCCTCCCAGCATCTCCCTAACCACTAGGCTATAGCCTCCAATGCGATATCTACTCATTTTTTAAATGATTCTAGGGATGGTGACTCCACCACCTCCCTGGACAGCCCGTTCCAGTGCCTAACCACTCTCTCAGTAAAGAAATTCTTCCTAACGTCAAATCAATACCTCCCCTGGCACTTGAGGCCATTTCATCTCATCCTATTGCTAGTAACCTGGGAGACGAGACCAACACCAGCCTTACTACAACCTCCTTTTAGGTAGCTGTAGAGAGCAATAAGGTCTCCTCTCAGTCTTTTCTTCTCCAGACTAAACAACCCCAGTTCCCTCAGCAAGACCTCATAAGGCATGTTTTCCAGCCCTCTCACCAGTCTTATTGCCCTTCTCTGGACCCACTCCAGCACCTCCATGTCCTTCTTATACTGTGGTGCCCAAAACTAGACACAGTACTCAAGGTGTGGTCTCCTGAGTGCCAAGTACAGGGGCACTATCACCTCCCTACTCCTGCTGGTCTCACTGTGACTGATAAAGGCCAGGATGCTGTTGGCCTTCTTAGCCACCTGGGCACACTGCTTGCTCATGTTCAGACAGCTGTCCACCAACACCCCCAGGTCCTTTTCCACCGGGCAGCTTTCCAGCCACTCCTCCCTAAGCCTGTAGCATTGCCTGGGGGTGAGTCAGGAAGTTATCTTCCACACACTCCAGGAACCTCCTGGACTGTTTCCTATCTGCTGGGTTAATATTTCCATCAGATGTCTGGTAAGTTGAGGTCCCCCACAAGAACAAGGGCTTGCAATTTTGCAGCTTCTGCCAGTTGTCTACAGAAAAATTCATCAACCTCGTCATCTTGGTTGGCTGGTCTGTAATATAGACTCCCAACAGGATATCCGCCCCGTTGGCCTGCCTCGTCTTAACACAAACATTCAACCTGTCCATCACACTTGTTGATCTTCATGCAATCAAAATACCACCCTACTGCCCTTTCTATCTTGCCTATTCCATTTGTAGAGCTTATAGCCATCCATTGCAGCACTCCACTCTTGAGAGTCACTCCACCTTTCTTCTGTGACAGTGACTATGTAATAGCTGTTGTGGCTTCCCGCTCCTCCTGTTTGTTGCCCATGCTGCATGCATTAGCGTAGATGCACTTAAGCCAGGCCAATGACTTCATTCCCAACCACAGCCTCCCACCCTTAGGCTCAACTCTAGCGGGCCCATTTTTACCCCCTTTCCCCTTCAAACCCAGTTTAAAGCCCTTTCAACGAGCCCAGTCAGCTCATACACAACTATTCCTTTCCCTCTTTGAGAGAGATGAACTCCATGTGTTGCCCACAGACCCTGTGCAGCATAAAGCTCCCCATGTTCGAAAAGCCCAAAATTCTGTTGGTGGTACCAGCCTCTCAGCCATATGTTAATCAGGTGGGTCTTCCTTCCTCTTTCAGTATTTTTCCCAGGCACTGAAGGAATTGAGGAGAACACTACCTGGGCTCCTGACCTCTCAAGTGATTTCCCCAGGGCCCTGAAATCTTTTTTAATTGTTTTCAGGTTTCTCATTGTAACATCATTGTTACTAACCTAGATAACCAATAGGCAGTAGTACTCCGATGGCTGTACCAGACCAGAGAGTTTGCTAGTAACCCTGGCCTCAGGGAGGCAGCAGAGTTCTCTATGGAGTGGATCTGGCTGCCACATGGGGCCCTCAGTTCCTTTCAGAAGTTGCCAACTACGGTACCCTCCTTAAATCCTTGTTAGAGCCAGTCCTAATGCATGGGGGAGACCTACTTACCTTGGGTGACTTCCCTGACGAACCTTCATCTTTGTTTGTTTGTCCCTCAGTTTCCAGAGCCCCATACCTGTTGTGCAAAGGCAACTGGGAAGAGGAGGGAGGCCGGGAGCGGGTTTGCCCGCCTTGCCAAGCAGAGACCTGTTTCCATTCCCCCTCATCTCTTAGGCCCTTTCCTTTTACCTGACGACAAGGGAGGAGGGGATCCTCTCTTTCGAGTGGAGCCTCCACCTACTGCCCTATCCTCAGCGATGGCAGGGCCTGACTCCACCCATCTATCTCCCTCTCACACTCCCTTATTGACCTCAGTCTTTCAACCTCCTCCTTGAGCTCAGCCACCAGGCTGGGCAGATCACTCCCTGGTCACACCAAACACAGGTGCGCCGCCCTTGCTCAGCCCTGCCGGGTGATCCTTGGGGCAGCTTCTTGAGGTGGAGGGCGGTTCTCCCTTCCTACCTTCCACAAGATTATTTCCTCTTTAATTTGCAGTTCAAACAATAGAAAAGAAAATCATCCCATGCACAGAACTCTACCATGGTAGAAAGCAAAAATGAGTCACTGCAACGTTTCAGTCTCTCCATAGGTTATGGACCAAGAACAGACAGAAATTTGTTGCTATTTGCCAACCAGTTTTGTTCCACCAACATGCCTACAAAGAAAACTGAAAATGTGGAAGCCTTCAAGTATAGAGATACAAAAACCTAGTGGACTGTACCACCAGAACCACTTCTAGACTAAGGGAACAAAATTTAATTGTTCAAAGCCCTAAAGTCATGTTTGCTTGTGTTCCTCTAGCACAACACAAAGAGCAGATTTTGACCACTCGCAGTGATATATAAAGTAAGATCTGGCAATCATCAGACACCCGAGGAGGAAGGAATCCATATATTACTATACCTGTTACTATAAGTAACAGGTTATCTACTTTGGGGTGCAAAGTAGCTATTTTTTCATGTTTTCAGGTGTTGGAACAGGTTGCCCACAGAGTCTGAGCAGTCTACCTCCATTTCTGGAAGTTTTAAGACCTGACTGGTTAAAGCACTCAGTAACCTGTTCTGTCATAGAATCATAGAATCCTTTAGGTTGGAAGGGACCTCCAAGATCATCAAGTCCAACCATTGAGCCATCAGGGCTCTAAAGTCCTCTGCTAAAACAGATCAGAATCTGTCAGGGTTGGAAGGGACCACAAGGATCCCCCAGTTCCAACCCCTCTGCCATGAGCAGGGACACCTCCCACTAGATCAGGCTGCCCAGAGCCTCCTCCAGCCTGGCCTTAAAGACCCCCAGGGCTGGGGCCTCAACCACCTCCCTGGGCAACCCATTCCAGGGTCTCACCACTCTCACGGCCTCACAGCTGATGCTGCTTTGAGCAGAAGGTTGGTCTGAATGACCTGAGGTCTTTTCCAAATGGAATTATCACATGCCTCTATGTTCTAACTGTATAAAAAACACATATAAGCAGGACTAGCCCCCAAGACTTCAGTGCTTCTTCATGCTGTTACCAACCTGCATATCCCAGTGGTTAGCTTCACGGTTTACATGTATGTGAATTAAGAGGCAAAAGGAAAAAGATGGGGCAAACAGGAAAAAAAAGAAGGTATGTTTTCTGTCTCTTTTCACCCAAAACACTTCTCATTCAGCAATCTCCTTTCACTCTGTCAGTAAAAACCTCACAGTGAAAATAGGAAGCCTGCATAATTTGATGCAGAATAAAATATTACCCTTTCATAACAAAAGTTGGATTTACAATCCTAAGAAGCATTAAAAACCACAAATGTTTCAATCATAGAACAGTTACATGATTTCATGCCACACTAATCCATAAATGAAGTAGGCAGCAATATCCAAGATTTCTCATCTGCTCCTCTATTAACATAGCCCATAACTACAAGACAATTTTCAGCATAATATATGAAAAACAACTTAGCTGTATTCAGATGCACTATTTCAGACAGTATAGAAAGCTGTGTGAGCTCAGTTTAAATGCTACATCCACACTGGTTAGTTGTGTTTTTCAAAAGCACCTTGCTTTTTTTCAGGTTTTTCCTCCATAAATAATTGCTAATTTATAGTTGCATCACCATGAACACTGGCCAGATAAAGTATTTTTACATATCATTTACACTACTGATTAGCAATAGATTACACATATAAATCCAAACTAAATTGCTGAATAGACTGTTAGTCTTGGCCTCAGTGACTTATGGGGAACATCACTTTTATCCTAGAAAACAACACAGTAAAAATGTACAAATTAGCACCATCATAGATGGTGGTTGAAATGAAGTACATTGAGTTCTATCATACTGACCATCAAGACAACTGGATTGCCAAGAGCATTCTGAATTCAATCACCTGTCACTTATGTATTTATGGCAGCAAATTTCTTTTAAAGATGCACACATATAAGAACATACGCATATAATTTATATAAGGGTATGCAAGTATAGAGAACAGAACATACTGTAAAAGGTCTCAGGAGACCCCTGTAACTTAAGTCCCACATACTCTGGTGTACCCTTTCTCCACATGAATTCCAACTACCAAATGTCGTAAAGATTTCTTTCTGAGGGATGGTCCCATCTCCTCGGACTGCGGAGATGTACTTAAAACTGAAAGCTTCTACACACAGAGAGGAAGCACTGAACCTGTTGGCAGGGGGGGAGATATTCTGGGCGAAACAGAACCGAGAGACATCAATACTTACTTGGCAGGCATTATAAATCAACTGGTGTTCCAATTTTTTGATTCCTAGAATCTGTTGAAACATTTCATAAAGCTGTTCCTTGCTCAGAATCAGCTCTGACACAGCACTTAAGGCCATTCTATTCGGCTGTTTGCACAAGTCCTCTTCTCCTCTGTATATGGCATCATACTTGGCTAGCCAAGAACTTAACACTGTCTCTTTGCTTAATCCATCAATTTCCGGCAAACTTCGAACTCTTTTCTCTATGTTTTTCTTAAAAACATCTCTGAAATCATTTGCAGAACATCCTCCACTGTGAACCATTCTTGCAACTCGGTCACTCTTGAGAAACACCTTGTAAAATAAAAAAAGATAAAAAAGAAAGAAAAACAGAAAATGTTAGACATGGACACAAACACAAGCCAATGCCTTACAAAAGGATTTAAAGCTAATATTTTGCTTCTATGTAAGATGACTTTATGAGGAAGAGTTATACAGGCCAAGTTTGCTGTATTTTTCGTAAAGAAACAATTTAAATACTTAATCAATGCAGATGGTTACTTAAGTATCTTTTAAAGTATTTATGCATAAACTTACAATAGCTAAGATAGAGTGGAAGTCTGAATTAATGGCAGCTAATTTGCTCCATGAAAATCAGAGAATTGTCAAGTTACTTGCAAGTAACTCATGGATAAACTACACTGTCTCTAAGTTCATCACTGTGAGTATAAAATTGATTTTTAAGCCAGCCAAGAATCTCAAGGAAGATGAGACAAATCCAGGAAAAATAAAATACTACCTAAATACTACAATCAATATCAACAATGGAGGGAAGAGAGGCTCAAAGATACAGAACTGGCTCTACTACTGTAGACATAATACTAGAGACACAACATGGGATTCTCTGTGTAAAAAAAAACAAAACAAAACAACAAAACACAAAAAAAACCCCTCCCAATTGTACATACTGTAATATATGATAAGGCTAATTACAACAACAAGCCTATTAAATCAGCACCAGCATTCTATAAGAACTTTTCAGTGTTCAAGGATCACTGCATACATTTCTTCTAACATGGCCCTGACGAAGTTCACCTTTCCAGCCACTGTGTGTAGTCAGCTCGTTTCTAGTAGCAAGTCTCATGACACTGTTCTTCCACAAAATGTAACCAACAAAAAGATGGCATCTGCAGTATGACAGACGTGTAAACAACCTATCACCTTTCTGACAGTTTGGTCTTTTCAGCCAGATGCTATGAAGTGGAAGATGAGTTACATTTCAGCATTTTCAGATAGTCATTTTAGTCACCAAGAGCTATGAAAACACAATGAATGGAGAAGATAGCACAGTAGACCTTTAACGCTATATGCTATCACATATCACACCTTGGAAAATGGTGCACCTAAAAGTCAACTACCATGCTTCATTTGGAAAATACAAAACAGAGAAGTAGGAGAGGAGCTAAAAAGCTGAGCAGAGAGGAGTACACAGGTAGAAACAGATACACAAACACTTATTTTCAAAGTTCCATTTCTTGCTGATGGATGTTTCTCTATAGCACATTTTAAAATGTAGTTACTTACAAAATACATCTTTCAATAGATATTCTAGCTGATGTTGTACAGAAGGCTGCCCACTAAGCATAGAATACTTGTCCAAACAGATTGTCCACAAAAAAAATCACCAGTATCTGCTAATCACGTTTTATGCTCCAATTGTACCATTATGGATTTTCTTTTTTTTGAAATGTTAAGTATCTAAGGTGAAATTACTGGAACTTGACATGGTTACTGTCAATTAATGACGATATTAATTTCCTGAAAATGCTACACAAATATTGAATCTCATTTCAAAACAATTAATCAGAATGCCACTCGGCAAGAAAACTTATCAACACAAACAGGTAAAAGGATATTAAGCCTTTCCTTGTTTTAACAGCCTGCAATTACAAATGATTAACTCCTCCAACAGCTTCACTGGAAAGCAAATAGAAAAAAAAATTTTAAAAAGATGACTTCAAACTAACTTCAGCAACTTTTGACTCTCCATAAACAACGTTAAATCTTCCATCACATTAGTCTGCATACCCAAGGAGGGGAAGTAAATGCAGAAGAAAAAATTAAATTAAGAGTATTTATAGGCTCTCCCTCCCAATCTCATGTTTATCTGAGATTATATTACCCTATGTATTGCTAATACGATTGGATTGGTCTAATAAAATAAAATTTAAAAAGATGCGCTAAATGCACACTGTAAGATCATCAGAATATAATTCAGCTTTCATCACCTTTCTTCAGTCATATTATTCAAAACCATTAATGCAGAATGCAGGGGCTGAAAAGCTACTAGAACTTCCCTTGACTTATGAACTAGACTAATTCAAAATGTAGTTCTGATATTGAAGGCTTTTTCTACAAGACTGTATGAAAAATCTGCTCCATTTTTTCTCTCGACTTAACCTGTGTAAGGGGAACATTATTGTAACCCTGGTTCCTGCAACACTGCCAAAATGATGACAAGTTCATGGTGGGCAAAACAACAGATATGTGCAAATACAAATACTATCTGCATGTATCCCTGAGCTTAAAATGTTCCCTTCTGAAGTGTTTTGGGTCATAAACTGTACTTTTATTAAATTTTCAAAAATTATTCCAGCATAATTATTTTGCAAAAAGATATGGTGGATATTCAAGGAAATTACTCAAAACATAAGCCCAAGGTGTGAATAACAGACTACGAAAAGTACATGGCTGTTTCTGACAAGAGCTTCATTGGATCTAAAGCTCTTATTGTACTACTCCTTTTTGAGCAGCAATTTCACAAAATTTTTCCTGAGGGGAAAAAAAAGTAATGATCCTTACTACTTGTATTTGAGATAATTAAAGAGTAATAATAACATTTGAAGAGAAAGACTTTGTTTGCAACAGGAAACAATAAGAGAATAGAAATTCCGTTACAAGCATACCATATGTGCCTCAAATTTAACACAGCAAGATGCATTAAAAAGCTATTAAATGTCTCGTTATTCCTGTTCCTGAAAGACATATGGTACACTTCATGTTAAATGCAAAATCCTTCACTTCAATTATATTTCTTGAAATTTGTCTTCTCAGTTTCAGGGCTTTTCTGAGCTCTTTTATGGCTACTTTTTTTTTTTTAAAAAAATCTAAATAGGAGTTTATGGGAATAGCTACTACATAGAGAATGGTATGTCACCAGTTTCATGTCACTGGAGTTATTGTTTTCACCATTGTTCCAGAAAGCCCATCTGGCTGCCTATCTGTGGGTCCAGAGTCTAGGGACACATGCATTACAGAACTGGTGGTACTTTCTTGATAGCATTCAGTTTTACAAAGAAATACATAAGCTTTTCCAGTAGTTTTAACATAGTCTACCACTTTTGCTTCAACATGGATTATATCTGCAGCCCAGTCATCCCCATTAGGGAAAGCTTTTGTGTTGATATCTATCTTTAAAGCAAAATAGTAATAAAGTACAGTCACCAAATGGTCAGCTTTTCTTCCCTTTATTCCTGTATTTGGGTTTTCTGATCATTAGACTTAGCACTAATTAATCATTAAAAAACCGCCAGCGTTAAAGAGTTCTTAAGTCTCTCAACACCAGAGGGGAACTGGAGGGGAAAAACTTCAGAAGCTTGAACATAAAATATAAAATGCCAGCAAAATTTATTGTAGGGGCAAAGAGATCTATTTCTGCAGGGAACTAGACCTGCCATGGTGGTTTGGAAATCCTCCTCCTCCTATTATTTAGAAATAATTTGACAAGAGTCAAATTTTTTAATGAAGTATTTCCTATTTCTACCAACATTTTCTGGACTTCCACAAAGAAATCCTGAGTGTTGCTCTTCATCAGTCATCTTTTGTATTTTTAGTATCCTTATTGGTTCCTTGAATCTGAGACAACAAAGCCTTTTTATGTTACCTATTGCTAGTAAACTATCAAACATCAGAAAGAAATGGTCTAGTAATACATGCAACGCATTCAGGAAAAAGTAATGCCCTTCTAAATACTCCTGGACTAAGCCATCCTACATTTTTTTGATAGATAAAGTTCTCTTTATATCATAACCATTCTAAGATGATCAGGTAAGTAATTAAAAAAGCAAACACCTCTCAGTTTCTTCTTTACTTACAATTAGAGTAATAATTATCATTTCTACCTACTAAAGCGTGGTTCAAATTCTACTTTTTCCAATCATACATATGCAGTTTCATCTGTTGCAAACATTAGTAAAAAATCCTAATTCAAAAGTCTTTAGCACTAGTTATACTAAAAATATATTTTTGTTTAAAGATGAAAACCCAAAATTTAGCAGTGCCTACAATGTAAGAAAACATTGGAAATATAAAAAAAGAACCACTTTTCCATCTTCTAGAACATGCACCTTGAATAACTTTTCTATTTATCTAACATCCATACCAAATTTAAGCAACTACGTATGCAGACAACAAAAACCTGGTAATCTTATTTTCCACTCTTAAGCTTCAGGGAAAAAAAAAAAAGGCAATATGCAAGAGTTTGCACAAACTCAACTATAGATAACCTATGCCTTTTCTTAATCTTTTTTCTTTTTTAAAAGAAAATGTCTTAAAATCTTCTGGATTAAATATGAGGTCCACAAGACCATTCATTACAAACTTTTATATGTATTTCCTCTCATTTGAAAGAGGCACACTGATGGCGTGCATTGAGGTAACCTTTTTAGCCAGTCTGGAAGAAAAACACCCCACCATGACAGTTATTAATATCTGTAATGTTTCTACCAGTTTGTATAAGTGGTGTTATTAATAAAAAAAACCCATTTTGTAATTTTGCTACGCATACCAGTAAAATAAGACCTTTCAGCTACTTGCTTATATATCAGTTCTAGCAGAGCCTGACTCAGCTCTAGGCGCAGCACCAAGTGGAAACACATTAAACTTGCACTGATCAAGTTATTTTACAAGCTCTTTTATTCTCTGGCAGAAAACTTTGCAAAAGGGCTTGACAAAGAAAATTTATCATCTAAGTCCCCTCATTTTTTAAACAAAGGATTGCAAAACCAAGCAAACAAACAAACAAAAAGTGTGCTTTGAACAATACATTAACACAAAAGGGGGAATAAATTATATACATAAACTGAGATTTTAAACAAAAATCTCACTTTCTTACTTACATTCTCTTCCAAAGTAAAACACAGAAAGTAACCCCTAAATATTTTTTACTGCAAAATATTGTGCCTACAACAGAAACCCCTTGCAGAACACCACTCACATCTCTGGTATATATATTTAGTGTTCTAAAATAGAAATCCTTGCTTTCGCAGGCAATAACTTACAGTGGAAAGCTTTATTCAACA